GTGCCCTGGAAGGGGCTTCTGTTGGGCAACTGCCTCTGAGCCCTGACCGGGCCTGGTTGTCCAGCCCAATATCAGTCACCAGCAGGGACAATGGCCTTGCTCCTCCATGCACCAGGTGGCCTGGCCTCTGCTAACCCCTTACCAAGGATTGAACTGTGCTCCCCAGAGAGGTGTCACGCACCCTACCTCTATGCTGGTGACGGTCATCCCGCTTGGGAACGGGTTTTATTGTGAAGGAGGGAGGATTAGCGGAGGGTGTATCTTGAGTCAATTTCTTTTGAGATGAAAAAGGAGGAGAGTTAGCCAGGGGGGTGGGGCGAAGGGGGGTGGTGGTGGCACATGAAAGTCACCAAGGAGCTAAGTTTCCAGCCCTCCTCAGTCAACAGAGAAAGAGCCTCTCCCTACCGCTGGCACCCTGAATGCAGACTTCCAGCCTCCAAAACAGTGAGAGAATAAATACCTGTCTGCTACCTTTAATAAACACCCTTGTGGTATTCCGTTTGGACAGCATAGAGAACGGAGGCAGTCCTCTTAGCTTCTCCGTCCCCAGCCCCACCCTGGCACCATCTCAGGGCCTGCAGGACCTCACAGGGGCTGCGTTCCCCCTCCCCCCCACCCGCCCCCATCTCCCTTTGTTGGCAAACTCCTGCTCTTCTTCCAGGACCTGGCTCTAGCCCTCACCTCCTCCAGGAAGTCCTCCTCTGGACCTGCAAGGCTGCTCTCTCATCGCCGGTGAGAAGATAGGGACCCCACTCCTGCCCCCAACCCAGCATACGGGGGTCTTCAGAATTCAGGACCTGCCCCTAACCCCAGGACCCAGCCCCCAGCCCAGCACACACTTACTCAGACAGGAACTCGAACCACGTCATGCTGGAGTGGGCTTCCCCAGGGTTGGCTGACAAGCGAGCCCTCTGCCGGGCCCTGAGGGGCCCCAGGGGACAGACGCCAGGTCAGCACAGCCTCTTCTGCCAACCCACCCCCTTCCTGACCCCATCCCGGGATTCCTGGTATAGCGGGGTGGGATGGGGTGGGGGAGCCCCTCCTGGTCGGTTTGTGCTATTACGACTGTTTCCAGTAGAGGGCAGCAAAGCACCCTGAGCGCATCATCCCAGGCAGGGGGTCCCTAACTAACCTGGAGCAGCAATGACAGGAAGAAGCACCTTGTTTGCATTTGCATAGAGGTGTGCCGTCGGCTGGAGGCAACCTGCTTTTCTCTGACTCCGTCCCCTGTCTTTTGCTAAGCTAGTTCCTCCTCCCACCTCTCCTGCCCCCATTTAGCTCCCATTTCTCCCCGGCGGCTTCGTCACACCTGCCTCCAACCTGTCCCCTCTACCTGCTGCTCACTTGAATTCTCCAGGACCTGTTGTGCCCTCCCAGCACCTGTTCCTCCTCACCCTGGTTTCCCACGCATGCCCTCCTACAGCTGCCCCCCTGCACCTGTCCCCACACCTGTTTCCTAATGCATGTCTTCTAACACCTATCCCCACTCACACCTGTTCCCAACATAGCTGTTCCCCTCCCCCTCACACCTGTTCCTCACACATATGCTTCAATCTATCTCCTTGCACCATAGCCACACTTGTCTCCTCACAGTATCCCCACACCTGTCCGCCCCCCCCCATCAGTATCTCCCACCTGTCCCTTTGCGGCCACCCCCCATACCTGCCTCTTCAAACCTCTCCCCCCACACCTGTTCCCTTGCAACAAATCTCCACATCTATCTCTTCACACCTGTCCCACACCTGTCCCCCCTGGATCTGTGTCCTCCACCTGTCCCCTTGAGCCCATCTCCTACACCTATCTCCTCACACTTGTCTCTCACATCTACGCCCCACCCCCACCTATATGCTCCACTTGCCCCTGTACACCTGTCCCCTCCCGACTTACCCATGGTACTGCCGGAGTTCTTGGAGCACCTGCTGAACAATCAGCCTGGGGGTGGGAGCAGGGTGTCAGAGCAGGCTGGTGGGCCAGCCCCCCACCCCCCCCCAGCCCCGAACTGAC